ATATAGGCTGGCCATAGTTTTTAATAGTTGAATGCAGTATCATTTTGTAGGTAATTAAAAACTATACAACATATCTCAAAATTAAAATGGTATTTATTTTTATTTAGAAAATCTGAGAGAAATACTAAATACTTTCTCATTTTTTCAGATATCGTCGGAGGGCTGAAATTGTTGTATACGGGTCCAAAAATGAAAATTGTCAAATTAACTTGAAAGATACTTCATTCGACTCAGTTTTTTGTGCTGATACCGAATCTGTATTTAGTTTATGACTAAAAGTCTTATTTGAATTCGAAAACCTTGAATACCGCCTAAAATTACTATGACACCAGTAGAAACGATTATTTTTGTTCGAAGGAAGGAAATTTGGAGAAAAGCTGAACATAGTTTAGAAGAGGAGCATCTGGCGAATCTAGCCATATAAAAACATTGGCTCTAGCGCCTCCAGAGAAACCTGTGTTAGGTTTGCAAAACTTGTGTGGTACTTTTGAGACATACCGGTTGCAAACATCGCCGAAAATCTATTTTTCGATCTAGACCTTTGGAAGCTATGTTTCCAGACTCAGTTTTTCACGCTGAATCTAAAGAAGTTTGTTTCAGACCTCCAGACTGAATGAGTCAAAAATTACAGCTTATTTTTTGAAACATTGTATTTTTACAGTTTTTGACACCATTCGAGTTTTTTGAAATTTTCAATCGGAAAACAGTGTCAAAAACATTTGAGGCAGACATATTCGTGATCAGCTCCAAATTCTCTATCGAATGGTGTATAAGAGGCTTAAAAACAAATTCCACTTGAAGTTTGACTTATCTGCATCTTATTAAACTCAAAACTCTAAAAAACTATGAATTTTATTTGTAGTATTTCTCTCAAATTTTCTAAATAAAAATAAATAATGTGCACGTAAAGCAAATTTCGAGCACTTTTTCGCTAAAAGGTACACCATCCAATGCAGAATTTGATGCTGATCACGAATATCACCTTGAAAGTTCAAAAATGTTTTGTTTTGGGCGAGAAAATTGCAAAATACTGAAAACCTCCTGATGGCTCGGATGATGGCTCGGATATACGCTGTGAGCGCGATTGAAGCGATGAATGGTATGAAAGCGACGAAAACTGAAAATCAGAACAGTTTGGAAGTATGAAGGCGATGAAAGGTATGAAAGCGGATGACCCGGATGAAAAGTATGAAAGCGATCAAAGGTATCAAAGCGATGAAAGGTAAGTTCCGATGGTTAGATTATTAAATTAGAAAAAATAAATCCAAGTTTTCATTTCGGATGAAACATGTTGTGAATTACAATCGGGTGATTATGGTTGTTGTCCATTACGTTAGTTTCTGTTTCTTTTTTAAATCGAAAAGAAAAATATAAAATTTGCTTTTCATTTTAGCTGATGCTGTATGTTGTAGTAAGTTATTATTGATAAAGAAGATTATTTAAATGAAATTGATGTTAAAGGTGATTATAGTCATTGTTGTCCACATGGATATACATGTGATATCGAACATAATAAACGTCAAAAAGGAATTTCTATTCCATGATTCAACAATAAAGCAGTTTTTCCTATAAATAAAGGTTTTATCAAAATCTGATCTTAAAACAATTCAATGTTCTGATGAGATTGTTTTTTAAATTGAAAATAATGGGTTTTTTTATTGATTTATATGAAAAGATGAAAAATGATTTTGTCCTGAAGAAACAACTTGTTGTGAATTAAATGGTGATTCATATGGATGTTGCCCATATCGTGAAGTAACTTGTTGTTCTGATAAAGTTTGGAAATATTTGAAAAAAGAAAAGTTTTTTTTCGATGAATTTATTTAGATTCATTGTTGTGGAGAAGGTTATTCATGTGATGATTCAGGTTCAAGATGTATTAGACATTTAAGTTTGGTTAATCAAACAGAGACTGAATTACAATTAATTGAAAATCAAAGATTAATTCCATTACATATTTTTCAAGAACAAATATGTCCAAGTGGAATAACAAAATGTTCATTAACTTCGACATGTTGTCCAAATAAAGATAATCATCCAACCAGTTCTGATAAAAACTTCGTTCTCATCTAAATCGCTCACAGTTCTCAACTTGACCTGTCATCGAAGTTTATCCGATGTGAATGAGACTATCTCAAGCATGCCTTCCATCAAACGTGTCTCATTGACTGTTAAATCTATCCAAGTACTAGTGAAAATATTTCAGCTCATGCCCCATCTTGAGGAATTGTATTTATCGGTAGCGGCATTCAGTGTTACAACAGAAATCCTGGTTTCTCTCCGTACCACGCTTCCAAAAAATCTGGAAAAATTACATTTAGAAATTGGCAGTTATTGCAGAGATGATCGACCAGTTTTGAATCAGTTACAGAATTTTTTAAGATTATTCAAAAATCAACTTCGATCTCTCATTGTCATCGCTATTCATGTGGAGGATAAACATTTTCTCAGTTTATTTACGTTTCAAAATTTACTCAATGACTTTACTTGTGTGGAAACTTGTTTCAGTATTACATCAATACTCTTCATCAACCTCATGATTCCCTATTCTTTCCTTGTAGTGAACAACAACCTGACTTAACCTACTCAATCTTTACCCATCCGAAACCGCTTGCGTTTGATATGACATCCGAGCGCACAGCCAATTCACGCAGTCTCAATTATATGTTCACTCTACAAGAACTATTTCACAGCCGATCCTTGTCAACTTACTGTAATAGTGGTGTACCATCATTTGCATTACCAAAGGATTTCAAACTTGTCAATCTTCAAGAAATCGGTTTTGAAGATCCAATTGAAGATCTTCGAGTTTGTTCGCCACAAACATGGGAATGGATAGTACAAATTCTTGCTCTTGCATCCAATTTACGAAGTATTTATATTGTAAGCGCTTTCGAAGGTATAAAATTAATCATCCAACGTTTACATGAAATAATCAGTCCGGCACAACAAAACCAAATGAAACATTTTGATATCATATTAGGTGGTGGTCGTTCTGATGAGGATATTCATTATCCGTATTCAACATTTTTCGATAAATTATCTACACTCTTCCCAAATTTGGAAACAATCACTCTTTTTATGGATCAAGAAGAACTCGATGAGTCTTACGATTCATTCACATCGTTTGTCAACGATTTACGTAGCAAATTTTCCAAGTTGATTTATCTAATGGCAAAGTTACGATTAAGCGATTCGACTGTCATTGATAGTTACAAAAAGAATTTGAACACATTGAACAACTTCCTGCATTATACGACAGAAAAACCCCGTGACAGCAGTTTTTATTTATTTCGTTGTTGGCTTTAATTACATAATTTCCTGATAACTTCGGGAGAATTAATATTTTGTATTTTGATATGATGACATTGTCACAAATCTTTTTCTTGTGAACTATCTCTTAAACCAGCTGACGTGTTGAAATAAGCAACCATATATTTGCTATTTCGACTGACACAATATTTTGTCCTTACGTAAGTAACCTTGCATAAACTGCTATGAAATCTCATCTTTAATTTTCATTTCAAGTTTCGAACAATGCAAAAAGAAGAACCTCATCTCACTATTGTCATTCTCGGTCCCTGCTGCTCGGGAAAATCAGCTCTTTATAATCAACTGCTCTATCAATCGGGCAGTGTATGGATAAACGAACTAAAGAAAAATTCGAACGAGAAATGGAAGAGATATGAATCTCTTTTCAGATTCTTTAATTCCGCTCGATACAGAAAGGCCGTCCTGTAACATGCTTTTTCTGGGCAAATCAACTATTGAATAATTTTTGTAGTCCAAATACCACCACTACTATTGCATGTTGGAAATTCGAAACATTAAAATATGATGTCGTTCTTATCGATATGCCAGGTTACCGTCATTTCATCAAAAACATGATTACCAGCGCATCACAAGTACATCTGACTGATGTCTTTAGTTTGAAGAATGTATCTTTTTTAGGCTGATTGTACTATTTTGAACATTACTGTTACGGATGATTTCGAAGCTAGTATTTGTAGAGCAGGTCAAACTCGTGAACATGTGCTATTCGCATTCACTTTGGGCATCAGACATCTGATATTTATTGCTATCAATAAAATGGATACTACTGATTCACCTTACTCAGAAAGTCGCTTTGAAGAAATCAAAGCTGGAGTATCACGTTATATAAAAGGATCGATTATCATAGGTTGGTCAACTGAACGAATAGAAGATAATGCAAGCGGTAAGACACTGCTCGAAGTCATTCATGCAGTGCCTCTACCTTCACGATTGGTTGACAAACCACATCGTTTAGCCATAGAAAATGTTTACAATATCGCGGGAACCGGAACCAATTAACATATCCGTTGCCAGCCAAGTTTTGCGGTACACAACCCCATAATCCTGAAATTGGATTAATGCATGTGTGTTCAGTTTGAGGATTACAACTAGGAGGATGAACACTGGGCTTAGCACTGCAACTGAGTTCATCTCGTCCATCTACACATTGCGTCTGTTTTGCTTTCAAATATTTGGATTTCAACAAAACGATCACACACTTGTTAAAACATAAAATTATTGACGGTTGAATTTTGCTTGTACAGTTTAGGTTCGTCTTCACCGTCATGACAATCTTGAATACCATCATCGAAGAGCCAAGGTGCCAAACATTTTTCTTCCGATTGGCAACGAAACGCATGCGACAAGTTATACGAAGAAGACCTAGCGAAATTTGTCTCATTTATTGGACAATTGACATCACGATCGATCAGCCGGTATTTCGATAAATATAACGAGTTACACTCGTATAATGCTGAAGAATTTATTCTGTCAGAGTTGGTTTTCGTGATCAATGAACAACGTTTAAATATGTTATATAAATCATACCGAAGATTATTTCATGAGTCATATTCATCTTGAGTCACTACATCAAAAAATACACACATAGAATTAAGAATATCTATTGTAGGTTGTAGATGTTAGCAAACCAGCATGTCTCCAGTAAATCAACACGAATACTGTTGAGTAAATGTCGAGTAAACTGAACGTCGCGTCCATTGATACATTGAGCTACGGTTGATGGTGGGGTCCACCTGATACATTGCCCATCACCACCGGCAAAATGTGGCATAAATATGAATGTACATGCCTGTTCTTCACATTCAATATCTGGTGAATTTGCGCACTGCGATCTTAATGAATCAAGCGAGCCTATCTTAAATGGATGGTCTGACTCATCCATACAAAATTGCTCGAGAACATGATCATTGACGAGTGATACTGGAACACAAGCACCATTTTGGCATCGCCATTCGTTATCGATACAATGATGTTCATCTTCACCTTCTATATACAGTCAGATTTTCTATCACAGATCTCTTGCCATACTAGACTTAATCCATTGACATGTTCACAACCATCAAGATGTATATAGGACGGAGTTATTCCACCTGTTCCTTCAAGGCTATTAAAATACAAATGTTCTTTTTGATGGAAATGCTTTTGGCCAATAAGATTGAATAAACCCAGACAATCAAAAATATATACTGACAACGTGGTCCAAACCAAAATTCTGAACAGTTAGAGATGTATTCACATTAATAAATGTCAATCAAAAGTAGACAGGTAACATAACCTTCATTCTACCAACGTTCTTTCTTCATAAATACAACGTGTTGATCATGCAACTTTCATTTAAAACTAGTCTATTTGAGATAGAAGAAGATTTATATTCATCCTCTTCTTCACAAGAAAAAGTCACGTTCAATAATTCCGTTAAATTTGACCTTATACCATTTTGTGAAACTTTTTTCATACGCAGATTTTTCTTTAATCCTTTCGAGGTGATAGGACACACGGGTGAACTTCGTTATAGTGTGACTCAAAAGCTCATTTACCGCAAAGCAAGTTATATATCTCTGTCACATTTCGATCAAAAGGGGCGATTTTTTTTACCGCTAATAAAGGAATGCGCATAACTATTACAAATTATGAAAAAGCAATATTCATGTCGCTGCTAATGTGTTAATCAAAGTTTGTAGGACGTTTACGGAGGAAGTGACCTGCGCGAACATCAGCAGATTGAAATTCTCTTGTACATTGCCAACAAGAAAATGTTTCAATATGATCATTGCTTTCCTTTATGGCATACTGAACATGTTCTGCTTCCAAATTAGTATTGTTAACAGTAGGTACTTGAAATATCTCGGCACAATTGAAGCTTTCAAACAATGAATTTACGGAGTTATTCATTTGTTCATTATTGTTTATGTGTTGTACGGTTTTGAACTGTTCTTTTTTTGAGCACGTGAGTCGATCTGGAAGAGGTTTTAGTTCAGGAGTTGCTCTGCCAAAAATACTTTGAGAATGCTTGGCATAGATATGTTTCATAAATTTACCAGTTGATTGAAATTTCCTATTACATTGTGAACAGAATATTGTTTTACCGACACGATTATATTTCAATTGGATATTTTTCATCTGATCTAGTGTCGCGTCTGGTCCTTTGCGCGTCTGTCTACATGGTCCGTTCATATGACAGACGCGACACGACATCAGATGAAAAATATCCAATTGAAATATAATC